TGTGCCCAGATATATTTGGTCCTTGTGAAGCTCCTGTTCTCTCCAGGTTTTCTAATCCTACCCTAGTTAAAAAAAAACAAAACAAAACAAAACAAAACAAAAAAAAAAAAAAACAGCTGGTATATCAATAAATTTAGTTATAAGGAATCCAAGAGGTTTATCTTCTTTTTTTTTTTTTAATCACTGAATCAGATATAGTTTTTTGTGTAAGAGGGAAGGATTATAAACAGTCAACTAGCCTTGTGAGATATGTTTGCTATGGGAATAATAGATTTTTAAGGAAGAAACATTTTTAAGGAAGAAACATACATAAGAAATATATGTCCAAGAAGAAGCCAACTCACATTCATCTATTATTGGAAATTACCAGTTAAATTTGTTTGTCTTCCATCAGTTCACCAGAGATTAACACAAAAGGAAAACAAGAGGTTGACCACTTTTTAAGCAATGCAAATACTGGTGTCAATTTTGTATATTTTTGTAAACCAGTCTTTCAAAAATGCAAATATATTTTGTTGAGACATTCATGCTTTATTTTATACTACTTTCTTCAAGGATGCTTTGAAAACTTTTACAGTGAAAAATTTGAAAATTAAATGTATTTATTTTATAATTACAAAATGTATTTGATCTAGGAAAATAAAATGAATCAATACATTTGAAAAAGAAAACATAACCAAAGGAAGATTCTTTAATGTTATAGTTATAGTGTATGATATTTCTAGTCTTTTTGTTTTAGCTTTCATTTATTTATTTATTTATTTTGTAAACTAACAAAGAAAAAGAATCATGTTTCCTTCTGAAATATACTCAGTAATTCAGAATATAAACTGTGGTTTCTGGAATGAGTAACACATCTTCTCACTTCTGATGCTTTTTTAACTGTGGCAGATAATGTGGCACAGTCCGGAGCCTTAGGAGCTGAACCGAGTTACTCTCAGTCCCTTGCTTCTTTAAACGTCTGAGCTTCACAAAACTACTTAACTTCTTTGAAGTCCTTTAAAAATATTTTTTTTTCCAAAGGCCAATGGAAATGTGATGATCAAATAAGTCTTGTTGTGAGGTTCAATCTGAAACCTCATATTTAAAATAGTTGTAAAGGTCTACAGCAGAGTCCCAACAAGTCATTAGTACATAAAGATGTTTTGAATTGATTAGCCTCCACACTGATATTTGCTAAAAAAAAAAAAAAAAAAAAAAAATGGTAATCAGTTTCTCCAAGGATTTATTTCTTTATCCAACAGAAACTATTCACTGAGCAGGCACAAAAACTGCTTTACTTTGTGCACTTTTCACAGGAGATTATGATATGATTTCGAAGGCTATGTGCAAATAATAGAAGTCTATGATAATAAAAGATTTGCTTCAAACCATGAAAATCAGTTAAAAGCCTTTCGTAACACAACATTGCCATGTTTTAAATTTATATTGCTCTCCTGTGGAAAAATGTAAATTCTCCTTCAGTTTAAATGTATACAATAAATCTAATGGTGTATACATTAAAACATTCAATTTATATGAGAGATGTTTCATTGTTGAACTAAAATATTTTATTATCCTCATATTCATTGACATTTAATATTACAGTACTGTACCGTTATTTAATATTCATTTATTTTTCTTCTCATTCCTTTGCTGACCAGTATTTAATATTCTCAAAATTGAGAACAAATCAGTAAAACACAAGTTTAAAAGAATGCCTACCAGTTCAGTGTCCAAGTGGGTTACATAGTAATGGGAAGAGGGACTGCCTCTGACATAATCTGATTGGCCTGCTCGTTGATCACCTCCCCCTGAGGGGGGGAGCAGCCTTATCAGGCCACAGTAGAGGACAATGCAGCCACTTTTGATGAGAACTGATAGACTAAGATCAGAAAGAAGAGGAGAACCTCCCCTATCAGTGGACTTGGGGAATGGCATGCATGCAGAAAGGGGAAGGAGGGTGGGATCGGGAGGGGAGGAGGGAGGGGCTTATGGGGGGATACAAAATGAATAAAGTGTAATTAATAAAAAAAATTAAAAAAAAAGAATGCCTACGTATCTGCTTCAAAATGCAGATGCATTTGAATTTATCTTTTAGTGTTGCCTTACCATTTTCTGGATGTTACGGAACATAATAGGATTCTATTTAACTGTTATAACTAAGCAAAAAGTAAAAATATGCACTGAAGCTAATGTGATGAAATTGCTCCATTCTGAGAGAACAGGAATCAATGTTATTCATGGATATATGTTTGAAAGACCCCCCTCAACCAGTGTGATAAATTATAAATTATACGTACCAATGTATTGTTGGGAAACATTAATAACAAGAAAATGTTAAAACATAATGACAATCAACACTCTATGTGGAACAAAGATTGAATAGAACAAATCAAGATGTTTCCTGAGAAGAACATCTTTTGTAGTTTCAAAGAACAAAGTGACGTACAATGGTGAAAACAAATAAATAGAATTAAAGTTAGCACCCCTTGCTCACAGGAAGTAAAGTTGCAGGTGACAACAGGCTTTTCTCTAGAGATCAACACAGTTGAGGCAGCTTCCTTACTTTGGACCCAGTCTCTAAGTCTATAAATGTCAGCCAACTGCAACTCTGCCTTTTTGGGTACATTTTCCCCCCAATTCCTAGTCTTTTTCTGACCAAATGTAGTATCAGGGATCACAGGGGAGATTCTTGCTTAACAGACAACAATTCTTGCTACTGGTGCACTGTGGATTAAGAGCCAACAATCTGTTTTAAGATTCTGACAAAAATCTGGGGTTACATCTTGTTCATGAGTATATTTGGGGTATTTGGCTACTGTTGCTAATTTAATAGCAAAGTGACAATTGCTGATTTTCCCAGAATACATCCTTTCACTTTTCTGTCATAATGCCCAGAGAAGCATCTAATTTTACAAGACACACATGCATTAAACTGGAGAGTATGAAAGAAAGAAAAGTAATGTTTAAACCTACAGACTCCAAGTAGCATTCACTTGCATAAAGATGATCCGAATTGCTGGATATTTAACTTTTTAACATCTATTATTTCTCATATTGAAAGATGGTTTTGGATTATATAGTCAATTTTATTAACAGTGCTTTTAAAAATAATGTATAGTTGGTAAGGGGTTTTATAGGTTAGTAATTTCAAATAAACTTCATCTAAGAAAAAAAAAAAAAGACCCTACCATACAAGTGTGTTAAAAACAAGTTATCTCAAGTTATCTCTCTCGTCTTTTAAATTTTATCTTTTTATTAATTACAATTAGTTCACTTTGTATCCCAGTTGTAGCCTCCTTCCTCATCCCCTCCCAATTCCACCCTTCCTTCCTCTTCTCCTCCCATGCCCAAGTCCACTGATAGGGAAGGTCCTGCTCCCTTTCCCTCTGACCCTAGCCTATCAGGTCTCATCAGGACTGGCTGCATTGTTCTCTTCTGTGGTCTGGTAAGGCTGCTCCCCCCTGGGGGTGGGGGTGGGGTGGTGATCAAAGAGACAGCCACTGAGTTCATGTCAGAGACATCCCCTGTTCCCATTACTAGGGAACCTACTTGGAAACTGAGCTGCCATGAGCTACATCTGTGCAAGGGTTCTAGGTTATCTACATTCATGGTCCTTGGTTGGAGTATCACTCTCAGAAAAAAACCCTGTGTGGAGATTTGTTGGATCTGTTGCTGTCCTTGTGGAGCTCCTGTTCCCTGCAGGTCTTACTATCTCCCCCTTCTTTCATAAGATTCCATGCACTCTGCCCAAAGTTTGGCTCTGAGTCTCAGAATCTGTTTTGATACCCTGATGGGTAGAGCCTTTCAGAGGCCCTTTGTGCTATCTCTCTCTTCTTAAACATTTTATTTATTTTTATCTTATCTCTTCACTACCTGCATGCAGTGCCTAAGGAGGCCAGAAGAGGGTGTTGGATCCCCTCGAACTGGAGTTACAAATATTTGAATTTTAACATTTCAAACACAGGGCAGGGCTAACTCACGCAGAAAATTTATTTGGCTTGGTCTTTTTGAGGTAATGTTGGGAAATGCATTCTGGAAATGTGTTCTTCATTTTCTCAAAAGAAGACATTTTTCGTTCAAACGGTCATGTACCTGCGCGCGCGTGCGCGCGCGCGCGCACACACACACACACACACACACACACACACACACACACACACACACTATACAGTCCTATTGGTATGACAAGCAGTGACAACATCTTTATTCTGTGACCACCTGAGTCACATATATCACATGTATCATTTAGATATTACGAACCTTGGATATTATTTTTAAGTTAATTACATAATTGTTTATTTATTGGTTTTTCGAGACAGGGTTTTTCTATGTAGCCCTGGCTGTCCTGGAAGTCACTGTGTAGACCAGGTTGGCCTAGAACTTACAGAGATCCACCTGCCTCAGCTTCCCAAATGCTGGGATTTAAAATGTGTATCACCACCACCCACCAGAAGCTTGGGTATTCTTCTGTCTGTAACTCAGCTGTAACTGTTTATACTCTCAAGATATGAAGTTATCCTGAAAGTTTCTGGGAAGATAGTCTTGAGTAGAAAGAATAAGACAAGTGTTTAAATGAGAAATAAATACAAATATTAAAGTACTTTTGGAAAAGAAGATTCATAAGTAAGCTACATTTTTTACCATAAAGTATATATAAACAGATCTGTGAAACAAATCACACAAATGCAGACTTTTCCATTTGTCTAAGTTTTGTTGATTTTTATCATAGAACTTCAAAATATTGTGGAAAGAATGGTTTAGTTTTACTTTGTAGAACATGAGCAAATGAATTCCATATGGGTTTGACCACCAATTAAACACATAACTATGGAACAAGCAAATGTTTATAGTATTATGTATTATAAAATCTCAGACATGTTTCTTAAATCCAGGCTTAACCCTGTGCTACTCTGGAAATCAGGAAACCCTCAAAATAAGTAATATCCATAAAGGAAAAAATGTGAGCATTTCTGATATACTCCATAAAGAGAAATGCTGTCCTGGGAATCACTCCTAGATTACCTTTCTCGCCTGAAGCTGCTGACCTTGGAGGCAGAGGGAGATGAAGAGAATGGTACTGCTGCCTCACAACTTAGCACAGTCTCCCTTGAAAGTAAGTCCCTCCTTTTGACCTCGATACAGAAGAGTGGGATGAAACTGATAGTCTTTTAATAAAATTTCAACAAAAATTCTCCCCTTTTTTGCTGATTAACTTTGCTATGTGACATTTCCCTACATGTATGTAATTAGGTGCTGAGACCCTGGAAAGGCTAGAGTTAAACTGATGTTCACAGTAAGGGGAGAATAAGCCTAAACAAGGAGAAGCTCTAGGAAAACGTGGTTGACATTTCTGACATGCCTGAGTTCTGACCTAGTTATCTGTTGACTGGAAATCTCAACAATGGAATTTTCATGGTGATCTGCTTCTTACTCTTTATTTGATTAAGTATATGACTGAACAAGACACATATGGTTACATTCATGTCAGAAATGTCATGCATGAGGAAAATGTTTAACCCAGAATATGTCACTTGATTACTTAAGGTGTTCCTTGAATCTTTATGATTATTATCATTATCAATACACTATGTGATGATGGGAATCAGAAATATATCATAGTTCTTTCAGCAGCATGGCAGAATCAAACTATGTTAATATGAGAACACCAGAGTTAGAAATTGATTTTTTTTTAATCTCTCTTGGTAAGCAGTAGGTATTGTGTTTCTTACTGTAAGTGAGCAACCAAATGTAATATTCTTCATGCTCAAAGTATGGGAATGGTAAGGAGCATAAGCTCTGTTATGACTTTAAGAAAACCTTAATTTTTGTTGTCATTTTCAGGTTGAGTCTGTAAATATGAGGACAATCTTGACTTGTCAAATCAAAAATGTAACCAGACTTACAATGTTTTTAGTTTGATACTTGTCACTTACTTAGATAAGAAATAGCATCTGCCTAGCATCTGCCTAGCATGCCGGCAGGAGAGTCTTAAACAATTGCTGTTTGCCCTGTCTCCTTGGACTTCCGTGGTGGACAGATGCCTCTGTAAGACTTTTTCTACCTGAGAAGGAGGTGCTGTTATCCAGTGAGTTGTAGGCAGCAGAGTTCCATGTATTACAGTAGGGGAGCAGTAATATTTTTTCAAGTGATTAACTGTTTCATTCATTTCTCCTGGACTTGGCTTTTAACCCAGGACTCCATACAAGCCAAGAAAGCACTTTACCTTTAACCTACAACCCTCAGCCCTGGCTTTCTACTGTATATTTTGTATTATTATAGATCATGTCTCATAACATTAAAATAACAAAACAGAAGAAATAAAAAAGGAAAGAGAAACAGAAAGGAAGGAAGGGAAATAAGTTGGTCACAACAATCTGTGCCTATTATTCAGATATATTTTAAATATCAGGTTTTTATGGAAAAAGAAATACTTTTAGAAACCTTGACTACTTTTGAAAGTGAATAGAGATACAGCGGGGAAAGAATATTCACCAGTCAGCAGACATAAGACTAAGAGAGAAATGTAAAGCAATCACCCATCACCAGTGACAGTTTTTTATCCTGTTTGTGTCACTGTCTGTTTAAAAGTTACAATCAAATGTGATTTAGTTGGCCCATTATAATAGCATAATCCCTGCTGATTTATTACCTTGAGTTCTGATTCTGCGGAGAATGTTAAAAATGGGGAGCATAAAGTTAAATACTTTATGTCCCCTGACACACACGCTGAGAACTTTGAGGTAATAAAGTTATATGATTAAACAAACAAACAAACAAACAAACAGAAGAGAATGAACTTTGATATGATGATTGAGAGGTGAATGGTGGCCTCCCAAGAGAAGAATCTCTGCCTCTGGACACACACGGTGCCTCTGTCCTTCCAGATGACAGAACATTTGCAAAGGTTTCATGAAAGCCACTGGGAGGCAGTCAGAAAACATAGGCAGGAGTAGATGAGATTCAGACACACAGGTTGGATTGTATGCACTGATGTTTTTCTTACTTTTTTTCTTCTATATTGCAAAATTGAAATGTCTCACTTCCTTCTCCTTTACACTCAGGTCCTTCCACATAATCCCAGTTCCTTGTGCATACAGGAGGATTGGAGAACTCTCCACATAGAGCCACATACTGTTATGTCTGCAAATCAAGCAGTATTCATTTTTTAATTAAATAATATTTTTATATCAACTACAGTTTATTCACATTGTATTCCAGCTGTAGCCCCTCCCCCTCCCATGCCAAACCTACCCTCTCTTCCTCATCTCTTCCTATGCCCCTCTCCAAGTCCACTGATAGGGGAGGTTCTTCTCCCCTTCCATCTGACCCTAGCTTATCTGGTCTCATTAGAACTGGCTGCATTGTCCTTCTCTGTGGCCTGGCAAGACTGCTCCCCCATCAGGGGGAGTCAGTCAAAGAGCCAGCCACTGAGTTCATGAGACAGTCCTTGTTCCCCTTACAAGAAAACCCACTTGGAGACTGAGCTGCCATGGGCTACATCTGAGCAGGGGTTCTAGGTTATATCCATGAATCGTCCTTAGTTGGAGTCTCAGTCTCAGAAAAGACCCCTGGGCCCAGAATATTTGGTGCTGTGCTATGCTTGTGTAGCTCTTGTCCTCTCCAGGTCTTACTGTCCCCCCCGTCTTTCCTAAGATCCCTTGCACTCTGCCCAAAGTTTATTTATGAGTCTCAGTATCTGCTTTGATACCCTGCAGGATAGAGTCTTTCAGAGACCCTCTGTGATAGGCTCCTGTTCTGTTTCCTGTTTTCTCCTTCCAATGTCCATCCCGTTTGCCTTTCTGAGTGAGGATTGATCATCTTACCCAGGGGTCTTCCTTCTAGCTCACCTCTTTAGGTGTACAGATTTTTGTAGGTTTCTTCTATATTATATGTCTAGTATCCACTTATAAGTGAGTATATACCGTGTGTGTCTTTCTGCTCCTGGGATGCCTCACTCAGGATAATCTTTTCTAGTTCCCACCATTTGTCTACAAATTTCATGATTTCCTTGTTTTTAACTGCTGAGTAGTATTCCATTGTGTAAATGTACCACAATTTCTGTATCCATTCCTCCGTTGAGGGACATCTGGGTTGTTTCCAGGTTCTGGCTATTACAAATAAAGCTGCTACAAACATGGCTGAAAAAAAATGTCCTTGCTGTGTACTTGAACATATTTTGGATATATGCCTAGGAGTGGTATACCTGGATCTTGAGGAAGCGCTATTCCCAATTGACTGAGAAAGCACCAGATTGATTTTCAAATGGTTGTACAAGTTTACATTCCCTTTTCTGCACATCCTCTCCAGCATGTAATGTCACTTGAGGTTTTAATCCTAGCTGTTCTGATGGGTGTAAGGTGAAATCTCAGGGTCATTTGATTTGCATCTCCCTGATGACTAAGGATGTTGAGCATTTCTTTAAGTGTTTCTCTGCCATTCTATATTCCTCTACAGAGAGTTCTGTTTAGTTCTGTACCCCATTTTTTAAACTGGATTACTTGATTTGTTGCTTTTTAACATCTTTAGTTCTTTATATATTCTGGATATTAGCCCTCTGTCAGATATAGGGTTGGTGAAGATCCTTTTCTAGTCTGTAGGCTGTCGTTTTGTTCTGATGACAGTCTCCTTTACTTTACTGAAGCTTTTCAGTTTCATGAGGTCCCATTTGTCGATTGTTGATCTTAGAGCCTGTGCTGTTGATGTTCTGTTCAGGAAGATTTCTCCTTTGCCAATTAGTTCTAGACTCTTCCCCACTTTTTCTTCTAACCTATTTAAATTTTATGTTGAGGTGTTTGATCCACTTGGACTTTAGTTTTGTACAGGTTGATAAATATGTATCTATTTGCGTTTTTCTACATATAGACATCCAGTTAGAGGAGCAATATTTGTTTAAGATGCTGTCTTTTTTCCATTGTATGGTTTATGTTTTCTTGGATGTGTTTTTGGCTTATGATTTGTTTCCTTTTCTCTGTAATTTGTTTGTCCATTTTAACACATTAAGTAAATTAAACGTTTATCTCATTTTCACATTATGGTTTTCAAACATATAGGCCCCCTTTTTATTTGTGTGTATGTATGCATGTACATGAAGTTTGTTAGCAGTTGTACACATATTGTATGTATATATGGTGTGCATATATGGTGTGCATATATGGTGCCTATGTGTGTGTATACCCCTATGTGCATATGTAGAGGACAGAGGAAGATGCCTGTTGTCTTACTCTGTCAGTGTCCACATTATTCCCCTTAGAAAGGGACTCTTGCTAGACCTGGGGCTCACTGATGCACCAGACTGGCTGGCCAGCAAGGTCATAGGATTTACCTACTGCCACCCTCCAGTGCTGGGCTTGCAGGTAAGCTAGCACTTCAGGACTTCCACATGGGCACGAGGCATCTGATTTGACTTCATAATTGTTGCATGGCAAGTATTCACAGCCACTGAGATATCTCCCGGCCCTACTTGTATTTTTAAATTAAATTTATTTTAGCTGATACCTAAATCATAAAAAGTGTAAGTATTTACAGACTGTCAAGTGATGATATGGCCTTTATATGTTCTCTGATGTTTAAATTAGGTTAACCACATCATGATACTCAAGAAATTGCTCTTTTTCTGAGATGACATCATCCTTCTAGCTTCTTGAGATATATAACATATTGTTGGCATTCTGCTCTGTACAAACTGCCTTTCAAGTTGTCCCATTTATTATTATTATGGACAAATACATAAACCCTACTAATTCTAATATGAAATAGCAAACTATGAAAACATTCAGATAGGAATATTTTTTTTTAGCTATGCCCTATTCATTTTCAAAGCCATTAGAGATTCTCAAAACTTGTGTATTTCATGAGTACTTTGAAAATAAATCTGTTAAATTTTTGGTTATAATTTTGCAACATGTAGAGGTCTTGAACATGCTTTAGTGTTTATGTTTTAAAATAAGTGCAGTTTTTGTGAACAATTCCCAGAAAGAAAAAAAACAAAAAACAAAAAACAACTAACCCTGCATCTATGTTAAATATTCTACAATGCTGAGTAGAACTTTGTAAGTGTGAAAAGTTGAAATGTCAAAGATCCAGGTCCTAATTATAAGTAAGTCTATCTTTAGT